TTTCTACTGCTCTTTCTCTGTTAATGTCAGTAGTAATATTCACTTAACAGCGCCATAGAGAATTGTCGAGTGTATTCCAATGATAAGACTGATGTAACCAACTCTGGATGGAATTCTTGTAGACTCCCATTATTGGTGCATCCATCCAGTAGCTGTCCCATCTGCCAACCATCTTAGTGTGACTGTGTGACCAGGCTTTCTCCACCTACACCTATGCCTACAACTTCCTGAATGTGACCAACAGCTCCCTGGCAGCATTTATCCAGGCCACCGACACCCTCTGTAGCATGAACTGGGAGGAGGTAACTGATGCTCTACTATATACACCTGTGTATAGCACCCCTTCTAAATAGTTCCTTTCTCTCTATAGCTCCTGATTTTTTAAATACGTAGTACGATGTGATTTACATTAAAAGTGACCTCAAGGTAATAAGACCAAATCCAAATAAATAAATAGTATGTGGCATATCGGTAACAGGGTTGTTACCATCTTCAGACAAAAGTACTGAATGATAAATTTTACCACAGCAAGTTTTAGATAGTTGATTATTGATTTAAATACTATGGTGTGGTAAAATTTCTCATTCTGTACTTTTGTCTGAAGAACAATGCTGTCACCGAAACGTCACACGCTATTTATTTATTTGGATTTGGTCTTATCACCTTGTGTTTATAATCTATAATCCAAATTGTGCCTTATCATTAAAAGTGAACTGTCTATAGCACCCCCTCTCTAAAACACCCTATTTTGGTGAGTCCCAAGAGGGGGCACTATAGACGGTTTAACTGTATATGTTATAAAAAATTATTTCAAATTTATAGTTTCTAGAACAAACTACTCAGTAAAGTTGACCACCAGATGTTAGTTTATCCTAAATAAGCCCATTGTTGTTGTTTTATTTTGGATGCACCCGTCTTATCTACCCTGGCCTGGGGAATCTAACCTTTTGAACAACCTTAGTGGCGTGCAGCACCTTGGTACTTTGCTACAGTGTATTGAGGTTTGTCTGCTTGCTATATCCATTTTTGGGCTCGAAAATCATGCACTTTGGTTAGTAGCCCTTTAAACCATATTCTTTCTCTTTTATTTTGGCCGGCTCAAAACTTTTTGTAAATATGTAAATAGGTAATCTCTTTTATTTTATTTTCAACACCCGAAGTCAGGTATTATTTCATCCTTTATTCACAAGGTAATAAGACCAAATCCAAATTGATAAATAGTGTGTGACGTTTCGGTAACAGCGGTGTTACCATCTTCAGACAAAAGTACTGAATGAGAAATTTTACCACAGCATACATTCAGTACTTTTGTCTGAAGATGGTAACAATGCTGTAACCGAAACGTCACACACTATTTATTTATTTGGATTTGGTCTTATTACCTTGTGTTTATAATCTATAATCCAAATTGTGCCTTATCATTCATCCTTTATTATGTTCATCAGCTTAATTAAAGCAAAGTGTGGTTAAAACTCTTGTTATTATTCTTTCCACTATGATCTTGTACCAAAAATATCAGATAATAATTATATTTCTCATCTCAAAATATTTAATATTGCCACGTGGAAAAATAGGAAAGACAAACTTCAGGTTAAGGTGGCAGTTTATTTAAGGTAAGAACAAAACTATGAATGACAAACAAAAGCAATGAGGTAAGTTTACAGAGTAGCAAAATATAAACATAAAAATTGATACTCTGTTAATAAAAAATACTTTGGTACATAGCTCCTTTCCTATTAGAGCTGTGACCCACAGCTAGCAATTATTGTAGTTACTGACATGGATCTGACGTGCTTCTGCCAAGAATTCCATCGGAGTCTTGGAACTTTGTCCCTGGTACCTTTGCTTCCTTTTTCTTGCGGCGTGAAGAGTGGCTTTGTCGTCGTATCATCTATAGGGACATCATCATCTTGGAGGGAAATCTTGGCTTTAAAATGGCGGTGGAATCCTTGAGCCAGTATCTGAAAATGTAGATCACAGCACCAATGGTCTTCTCGGCGACCTTCAGTTTGTCTTCCCTAATTTACCCAGCATCTCCACCAAAATGCCACGTTGAAAATTAGGGGAGACAAACTTCAGGTTGACACAGCAATTTATTTACATGGCAATATAATAAAAGCCGATAGAATTAAAATAATAGTGTTCCATTTATACACCAGTCTCTCATGAGAGGCTCTTGGTTAAACTTGTCTCTCCTGGAGGTAGTCTCTCATCAGAGATGTTGAGCCAAGTCTTTCAACCCAAACAGAATCTCTAATGAGAAATCACACCCTAGAAACAATGGCTAAAACAGAGTCTTTCCAGAGGTGGCCTCATATCAGACACTTGCTCTCAAGTTTAACCAACTATATTTCAAAATATAGTGGAAAACCTTGTAATAACAGCTTCTTTCATAACAGCAATATGGTTATAAGATTATAATTCTAAGGTCTCAATTGTGTTTTAACTGTGGTTATAGCAACAATTTAAACCAATGCATACAAAAAATAAACATCCAAACAAAATACAGGAGTCAACATCCCATCATTGGTATCTGGACCAAAAGCCTGGAGCTATTCTGGAATGTGGGATGAACTGACAGGCAGCAACCTGTATTTCCAGGGTCAAAAATGACCATACAATACCGCTCTTTTTCCAGGATGGTGTCTAGACCCTATCACAATGCACCAACTGCAGGTCCAAAGAAGCCTCACTAGACCATTTCTTTGAATGCATGGAAGCCTCAAGACAGGACCTGTATTCCAACCCTACCAAGATTGTGAATTCTTCTTCTTATTTCTTATCTCCACTCAATCATATTTGGGTATCAAGCTTGTAAAGCTTGAGACTTTTGATGGTGTCTGCCGGGGAACAACCATCATGACTGGCTGAAGTAGAATGCGTCTGCCTTTGTCATTAAGATTGGGAGCACTACTCAGTGGCAGGCCGACTTAGCTCCAAAAGAAATGGTACTTCTGACATGAGGAACAGACGCCATGTGCAGCCGCTTCTAACATGGAGTACAAACACTGCTCATCCTGTATCCCTGGATTAGGAGCCCTTACAGGGTACTATCAGCCAGGCCAGCTGAGCCCAGGTTTTTTAGTGAGTTTGTTACTGCTCTTCCTTTTCCTTTTTCATCCGGGCTTGGGACCGGCAAAGGCGGAGTTGTGAATTTAATCCATGGATATAGTCTCCATGACCTTGTAAACAAAAACAATATAAACCTCTTTAAGTCCTAAGTGATGTTGCAAGGCTGTACTGTACACAAGGTGACATGTCCAGGTGAAGGAGTTGCCGGCAGACATCAGGTACCTCAGCTTGTACTGCTTCGATGCCTGGTACATCCACCATGTGCTGGTGGACAAGTACGGCTTCACAGCTGCCACCTGGCCCAACATCCTCTTCCAGGATAGGGTGAGTCATCTAGTACACTAGTCCTCTCTGTGGAATAGGCTTCACAGCTGCCACCTGGCCCAACATCCTCTTCCAGGATAGGGTGAGTCATCTAGTACACTAGTCCTCTCTGTGGAATAGGCTTCACAGCTGCCACCTGGCCCAACATCCTCTTCCAGGATAGGGTGAGTCATCTAGTACACTAGTCCTCTCTGTCGAATAGGCTTCACAGCTGAAAACATCTTGTTAGGGAACCCTTGCCACGGAAAAATAAAGTTACTTTTAGAGACAGTAGCCAAAACAAAAATAAACAAGAACTGGAGGATCTCACCTAAGCACAGTTGGTACAGTGGAGAAGCTCTGAACTTCAGAAATAGATAGCACCAAACAACACTAGACAACAAGATTTAGAACAGGCCATCTCAAGCCATTGAAGATAGAAAATAATAACAACAATGAGGCACAATTTGGATTATAGATTATAAACACAAGGTAATAAGACCAAATCCAAATAAATAAATAGTGTGTGACGTTTCGGTAACAGCATTGTTACTTTTGTCTGAAAGTGGTATAACAATGCTGTTACCGAAACATCACACACTATTTATTTATTCGGATTTGGTCTTATTAACTTGTGTTTAAAATAATAACAAAATCTACCCCACTTGCCCAAAATGTAGCTTGGCACCTGCAGCTCCAGAACACATTTTGGCTTGTATTAGATGTATTAAACAGGACCTTTGAGAGAGGCTGCTGTTTATCATAAAGCAGCTTGAGGAGCATGAACTCATGGAATTCGTATAATCTTTACACAAGGGGATAAGAAACAACAAACATCTTGATCCATAGGAGCTTTGGTAGAATTGGCTGAAGTATCATAGAAAGAAAGCCTTGTTCTCTTCCACACTTCCTAGCCTGGCAGTAACATGGTCAGCTCCTTGATTTTGCTTTAGAAGACTGAGGAGCATGGCTTCAAGTCCTGTTGCCATGTTTTGGTGTTCTTCCATTTTGCTTGAAATAAATACTTCCTTTAATGTTATAAACGCCTTAAATTTTATTTGAAAACAAGGATAAAGTACAAGAAAACACACACACAAAGAAAAAATATATATATATTAAGTATCTTTGACACTAATCATATCTCTCCTTATTCCTCATATTTCCCCTCTATATGAAAAAATAATAGAAAAAAAATAAGTGGGTCAGGTGTTGATATTAAAAATAAAAAGGCTAATCCTGACCAGGAGCATATGTGCTTTTCAGAAGGCAGAGCGCCATCTGGTGGAACAATCAACTAAACATTGATTTAGCCTGTTCCCTGATATTAGGCCAACCCAATTTCTTGATAAATCAAGAAAAGCCATCCACGAAAAGCACATGTGCTCCTGGTCAAGATATGCCTTTTTATTTTTAATTTGTCTATATATAGATGGAGATTTTGCAGGGAGGAAATTGGTCTATATGTCATTGACTTGATTCTACTAGTTTTCAATTTAAAGGGAGAGGTGCCTTATTTGGTACTTTAATACCATCCTCCATCAACTTTGTTGTATTCTAGCCTGAAAATCGGCCCTTGTAACTTCATCAGCTTAAACATCTTTTTGGCCAATTTGATTTCATAACTCTTCTATAGGATGTCCCAAGTGACGGTGGTATAGCATAGCTGTCTTCCAAGCAGTTGACCTGGGTTCGACTCCTGGCCATAGAAATTTTTTCTAAAGATCTCTGGGAAAACCCCAGGACTATAATATAAAAGATGAGACAATGGAACCTAATGGAGATCGTTTAAACGACTTGAGGAATAAGCAACAACAGGATGTCCTGAAATTGAAGCCTCCCCTGTACTGATGAGGACCAAAGCCAGAAAACTTAGTATACAGCTTGTTGGCTGTTGTCTGAAATTTGCCCCAAACTGGTGTTGAGGCACATTCTTCATCAATCAAATCTATAACAAATAAATTTATTGACAATGTGTTTCTTTTCAATAATATCATCAAATATTATCTCTACAGACCTTACTGCAATGATATAAGTTATTCAACGAGAGGGCTTGGCTCATCAATAGTGAACCCTCTCAGCGGTTTTGCCAAATTAATCTCTAGACCCATCTACTTTTTTTTTTTTTTTTTGCTTATCCCTAGTACATGTGGTACAGGCCATGATAATCATGGTGGGTAGAAGTTGGTGACTGCTTATACTGTAGACCGCTCTACTATTGGATTGGTTTTGGAATATACCCTGTATTTTCTATGGAAGGCAGTTTAGGGGTGTTTAGTGAACCTATGGACATAAGCTTATAGGTCTGTAGAGGTTTTCATTCATCATCACTACAATTATGTTCAGTACAGATGAACTTTGCCAACAATTATTTCAGAATTGGCTATATTGTTGTTTCTTACCCCCTTGTGTAAAGATTACACGAATTCCATGAGTTCATGCTTCTTGGGCTGTTTTATGATAAGCAGCAGCCTCTCCCAAAGGTCCTGTTTAGTGCATCTAATGCAAGCCAAAATGTGTTCTGGAGCTGCAGGTGCCAAGCTACATTTTGGGAAAGTGGGGTAGATTTTGTTATTATTTTCTATCTTCAATATTTTGAGATGGCCTGTTCCAAATCTTGTAAGTAAGAATTGGCTGTATAGTTGGAGGAATATTGATCGATTCTCATACAGGTTTATGAAGGTACATCAAGTTGCATACTATACCACGTCTTCCCACTGTTAGGTGTCCCAGAATGTCATCTCTGGTCAGATGGTGACAGTAACCGTAGGGCTGGTATATGTACCTTACATACTGTACATACAACTTGACATATCTTCATAAACCTGTAGGTAAATCAATCAATCTTCCTCCAAATATATAGCCAATTCTGAATAATTATTTTAAAGATCTTTGACACTAATCATATCTCTCCTTTTTCTCATATTTCTATCTCTTTATTTATATATTGATGGAAATCTTGCCAGGAGGAAATTGGTCTATTTGTCACTGGCTTGAGTCTTCGAGTTTGCAATTTTAATGTTTTAATTTGTTGTATTCTTATTGAAAATCAGCCTTTGCTACTTCACCAGCTTAAACACTGTAAATATTGAATGTATTGTTTTAGTGTATTGTTTAAAGGGAGAGGTGCCTCCTGTATAACGAGGCTGTGTGTGACACCAGGTGGGAGATGTGGAGGTAGGCTGGGCCCTGGGGTACATGATCCAACAGACCAGCTGGCTTCCTGCTGACCCCACTCAGTCCGCACCACTACTGGCTCCATCTACCTACGCCATCCTGTGCTTCGTGTTGATCCTGGTGTTGTGTGTGGGACTGGGCCACTGTTATCTCTACGTGGTGACAAGACCACGGCGCGGTTACTCTACCTTCTCCTCCCCCAACAACATGTGACATATGAAGTAACATCATTGTACCATTCTGTCCCTGGTTTATAACAGCAGGATCCACCTGTTGACAAGACTTTGATATCAATTACTACCACCCTCCCATTGAGACAACGTTGCCACCTAACTTTCACAACTTCCACTAACCTGGAGTTTTCTGGCTCAAAATATATCTAGTCCCTGAAGTAACATTTTTATATAAACCATGTCCTGAGACTATATGCACAGTTGTCTACCATAAACCACCATAACTTAAAAACAGCGCCAAATTCTGTCTCTCCTGGAGGTAGTGGTCTTTTATCAGAGACATTTTTACATTTACCATGTCCTGTGATTATATGCACAGTTGTCTCCCATAAACCACCATAACCTAAAAACATAGCACCAAATCCTGTCTCTCCTGGAGGTAGTGGTCTCTTATCAGAAACTGTTTTTACATTGACCATGTCTGTGACTATATAGACAGTGGTCTGCTGATACCGACCATAACCTAAAAACATAGCACCAAATCCTGTCTCTCCAGGAGGTAGTGGTCTCTTATCAGAGACTGTTTTTACATTCACCATATTCTGTTTGACTAGATAGACAGTTGTCTCCTAATACCAACCATAACCTAAAAACATAGCACCAAATCCTGTCTCTCCTGGAGGTAGTGGTCTCTTAGCAAAGACTATGTTTTCAATAAATACTCCCTTGTATCAATATTGAGTAAAATATATCAGACCTCCAGGGAAAAGTATCTTTTTAAAACACTTTTATTCTCTAGCTTTCAGGCACAAACACCCTTCTACAAGAGAAAACGTGATCGGCGTCCGTGCCCAAAAGCTAGAGAATAAAAATGTTTTGAAAAGATACTTTTCTCTTGAGGCATGATTAATTTTACTCAAAGACTGTTGTTGTTGTTTCTTATCCCCTTGTGTAAAGATTACACGAATTCCATGAGTTCATGCTCCTCAAGCTGACTCAAAGACTGTGTTTGGGTTGAAAGACTCCTCATGACTGAATTGGCAGTCTCTGATGAGAGACCACCTCCAGGAGAGACCTAGTTTACCCATGTCATTAGTCTCCTAGGACTCTACTGTACCATTGTGAAGAGACAATCACCAAAGTTGTATCATTTCCGCAATCCTGCCTCTAATGATCTAGTCCCATAGACAATTGTGTGTTTTAATTAATATAATACAGCAGGTTTCTGGGGATAAGTTTCAATTTACTAATGTAATCTCAAGCTCTCAGGTATCTCTGTCCTTATACAGGAGTACATAAAACAAATAATAATAAACATGCTGTTATATACAATAGAACTACCCTGTAAAGGACAACACCTAATTGCAAAGCCAAATTGTCCTTTAGGGAGAGGTGTCCTCTTACTGGAGAGTTGCTAAATTGTTAAAATGGTAATTTCGTAAATGAAAACTGTCCTTTGTACAGAGGTGTACTCTAGCGTGATGGTCCTCTCATGGAGGTTTTACTGTATTAACAAATTATATATACAGTTAAACCTGTCTATAGCACCCCCTCTAAGTAGCACTTCCCCCTCTATAGCGCCCGATTTTAAATATGTAGTATGATGCAATTTACATTAAAAGTGACCTGTCTATAACACCCCCTCTCTATAGCATCCTATATTGGTGAGTCCCAAGAGGGGGCGCTATAGGCAGGTTTAACTGTATAATGTTCTGAAAATAGAGCAATCCATATCTAAACATATATATATATATATATATATATATTGTTGCACCAAGTTGCAGCTTTGCAGGGTCGTCTCAGTGTTATACACATTTCCCGAGCTGGTTTCCATACTCAAGGCAAATAAATAGAAGTAAATAAATAAAATTAAATAAAAATAAATTATCTTTTAAAGTTATTGCGTTTATTTATTCGTGGTCTTCCTCGTAGGTCGCGATCCGCAGTCTTGGTCTAGGTCCTCTCTCGCTCCAATAACCAATCAAGATATATATGTACAATATTACAAAAGGAATGAAACTATAAAAAGGAATGATGATAATCTAAATAATCTGTTTTAAATAAATATTAAATATCATAGAATATTTTGAATAAATGTAGGGCGCATTAAAATTGATGCAACAATATATATATAATTTGTTAATGTCTAATTGTGTGTTAATTATTGTTTGTTTCATGAACTCCTGTAGAAGGGCAGAGATGCCTGAAAACTTGAGATTACATTAGTAAAAAGAAACACCAGAAACCTGTTGTCTTTATATCCAGGAGATTTATATCAAATAAATGTATTTACCTTTTGTTTCCCTCTTTATCTTATAACTTGACTTAGATCTATAACAAATCCTTTATGATATAATCATATATAGAAATGTATGACTTCATGTTTTCTACATCATATCTGAGTGTTATCATTGTTTATTGTAGAAGCTGGGATGCACCTGTGTGTTTTTCCTATCACATAGCTCATCTCTTGTTCCATAATGCTACCCTGGGTTTCATTGAGCAATATTGTTAAAAGTTATTCAAAGAGATATACAGTAGAACCTCCCTTTAAAAGATTCCTAATTGCAGAGCAAAATTGTCCTTTAGGGAGAGGTGTCCTCTTACTGGAGAGTTGCTAAATAGTAAAAATGGTTATTTGACAAATGAAAACTATCCTTTATAGAGAGGTGTTCTCTAACGTGAGTGTCCTCTCATGGAGGTTCTACTGTTAATTGTTAATTTTTTTAATCACCCTGGGTTTATTACTCTTTTAAGTTTTAATGCAATTTTTTGTTTGTTTTTTTTTCCTCTTTGTTTGTTGTCCATTTATGTGTGCTTACTTATGGATCATATATATATATATATGTGGTATATATATTTACCTATATGTAAATATATTCATTTGATCTCTCTCTCTCTTCTACACGATGACAAGTGAAGCCTATGCAAATTCTCAAAATTTTTTCTCTATTTCATCTATATATGAGAGTTGTTTTAGATTTTTTATTATTATTGTTTCAATTGAATGAGAAAAAAAAAGTTTTTTTTTATACATAAAAGTGCATCATTAAAAAAAATTAAAACCATATTGTTCTCAAAGAATCTTCTTTATAAGATTTGTTTTTGATAATAAAAAAGTTTTTATAATTTATGTGTGAATTTTGTATGGAGGCACAACATAAACAATTTATCTTAGGGGACACAAGCATTATTAGTCCATTGTATGTGATGATGGAACATTTTAAAGAATAATTCAATCTGAAAGTGTTTCAATGTAATAAAATTGACCTCTACACTATCTCCCTCCTTCAGTGCCTTCCTCTACTGAGGGTGGGCCACATGGTCTCTCCATATCTCCCTCCTTCAGTGCCTTCCTCTAC